GTTGAATGATAAGTGTCGCAGTTTAAAATAATTTTCATAGTTAGAAATTATGAAACGCTCTGTTAAAAGCAAGGGAGTTTTTATGTCCGTTGCAGTAAAAGAAAATGCCTGACAAAGTAGGGCTTGGACAGATTCCAAGTGCTTGTACAAATGTGCTAAAGAAATTAGCAAAAAAAGTAATTCCTTTATCGTATTGGCTAGCTAATGTCCTGTCCTCGTTAGTAAGATCAACGAAATGCTGTGGTGTTTGTCAAAGAAAAAGCTAAAAGTATTTTCGTTTAAAATGACGGTTAGAAAGAAGGTGGACCAGCGTGATACTTTGAGTTTACAGCTTGTCCAAAGTCATTGATTATTAATACTATTAGTAATATCTTCAGTAAAGGCTTTGATGCATAAATATTTCTGATGAAGGTAGGTTCTGTACTTTTGTCCAACTGAGCAATCTTGCTTTCATAAAATATACCAACTTTTTAATGACTGATGATTAACATGCTGTAATACACAGTTTAAATTTAAAAGCTCAAATGCTGTACATGAGAGGTTAAGCTTTATTGGCTCCTCCTGGTGGTTTTACAAGGTGATTCCGTATACTTTCCGGCATGACGTCAAATGATGCGATATACCACGTGATACTGCGTGATACTGCGTTTTGATGCGACGCGCCCACTAAGGTATACTGCGAAATACCCCACCCATTTTGAATGGCTGCATCTGTATAATGAGAATAAGAAAGCGTGAATTGACATGATTCCAAAAAGTTCACAAAATGCAGTTAATACAGAGTTATCCTCCTGGCACAGTTTTGAGCCAAGTTCTACTTGTCACTTCTACACAAATTAAAAGAAGGGCCAACATGTGCTGAGAATAACTGCTGTCTTGTTATGCAACTCTGTTACAAAAGCCCTGAGGTGCTAATATTGACTAGGGCTCAGGACAGTGATATATATCCTACCAAAACAAAAGTATGAAATATTATATACTCTTAAAACATGGCCAAAATGTAAAACTCATTACATATGAATAAATTCACTTATAAGTTATTTATACAAGGCATAATACAGTATGTACTGTATGTACACACTGTACAGTGTGTATACAGTACATATACAAAGCATAATATTTATTTCCACTGTGGGGTATGGAAATAAAATACCATAACTTTCTTAAATGAGCTTTTTTAAAAGACAAAACTATTAATAAAGCAAAGGAATGTCCCTTGTATTAAAAAATGAAATACGAAAGGGTCTGTGACAAACTTCTTCAGGTTTCTAACATTTCCAATTTCCAGCTTGAATCTGATGAGTAAAACCTATTTAATTGTGCCATTCAGTAAAGACTGAAAAGATAAGCCTTACTTTAAATGTAGTCTGTATTCACAAAGCCAATAACAAATGTATTACTCTTATTAAGAACAATTAATACTTATATCACCATATGTACGTCAGTACTGGTACACAAAGAATAAGAATAAGCATACAGTACAGTATATATGTTTACGAATGGGTTTCAGTGAGACATAAAAAGAATGTTACTTATCTTTATGTGACGTTAACTGAAAATATTTAAATTGGCACAACATGATATTAATTAGTATACTTCAGAAATGCAATAGTACCTCTTCAAGACGGTCTAATACACACACACTGTAAATACAAAATGCAATGATTGCAAGGTACTCTACTTAAAGACACATCTAAATATTAATGAATTGGGTAAGAGGTATCTTCCAAGTGTATTCTTTCAGAAAGGTTATTCTTATCAAAGGAATGAAAAAGCTAAAGAATGCAAAATAAAAGAACAGCAAAACGAGGAATGGTATATCTCAAATAAATGACATACTTTTGATAGTCCTGTTAGAAACGATAGGTTCTGCTGTGTCTTGTACTTAACAATATTTAAAATTTTAAAATACTGCTGTTATGTTGAAATCAAATATAAATTGCCGAAGCACAATACAGCTTTTGCATTATTCAAGTATTTTCTGACACCGTATCTCATTTTGCGCATACGAGGCAGCATATTTAATATATGTTAATCATTTTGAGTCCATTATGTGCCAAGAAATCTTGTCAAATTTGGAATTATTCTTTGAGGATCTATGGGTGCTATATACTGTATGAGGATCTGAAACCATTTATTGCTGGACACTAAAAATTATTCACGTTATATTGCATTATTTCAATAATGTGTATTAATAATAAATAATGAATCAATGTCTTGATGACTTCAAATGCAATTAAAAATCAAACAGATATGAGTACGATGAAGATCCACCCATTTTTATGAAAAGATATTTAAATTACAGTATGGTATTATTAAAGAAAATACTTATTTAAATGGCAAATCATGGATTTCCTATTACTATCACAGTGATACTGTGAAAAGATTGTGCAAATAATGGATTCTAAAAGGAAAAAGAACAGCTGCTATTTCTACCTTAAATACCTCAGGGATTCTAAAAAGGAAGGTACATGTAGGGTCACTAATCATGGGTATTAGCTTGCTGCTTTAATAGAAAAATCTTCATAAGTGCCAGATTCAATTCCTATTGCACGTTTCGTAATTAAAGTTTTATCAGGGAGCACCAGCCTGGTTACAATCTATCATAATATTCTTTGGAAAAATACTTTGCATGTGTGTCCCACATCCTTGAACTGGATTTAAGAGACAAAGAGAGTGAATGGTTAAAGAAAATTAGTGTTTCTCCTTTATATGATCACAAACCATTCGTCTTTGACATACGACTGCAGTGTGAATAAAGTGGAGGATTTGATCAAACTGGGTTGTCCGTCAAGCCTGTTTAGTTTGAGCAGGTTACAAGTGAATTGATTTTTTTCATTGGAATCATTATATTGTATTTATATGAAAAATCAAAAGAAACTAGCCCCTCCAGGAACTGAATTTAGTTTCAGATTCCTTACAGCACTTAAACGTGGGAGTACCTAGAACTCATTGAATTCTCGGCTCATCCTCTTCAGGAAAAGATTCTAAAACAAACTAAGAATATCAGTTTTTTTTGTGAATATGTTGCTTAAGACAAAACTCATTCTCTGAGATTCTTCACAAAGCTCTTCAAGAATTATTCACAGTACCTCATTTGGTAGCTTCATTCTCTTTCTGGTAAGTTTGCAAGTACAGTAGAGGTTCTGCCCTCTGTCCTCAATAGGAGATTAAACAAATCCTGTAAGCCTCTGCATCCTAGATTTTGAATTAGAACCTCACAAATCATCTTTTCAGAACTGGTCAGATGATAAATCGTAGCATCTTATTTCCCATAGCATATTGGGAAATGTAGTTCAAATAAGCATTTATATCCTATCTGACCTTACGAGCCTCTTAAAATATATTTTCTTGACTTCTTAATAAAAATATAAATGCCTTTTCAAACGTATTTGGGAATCTTTCCTATTTCTCCCTTTTAGTAAAAGATAAGCTAAAACAACACCTAAGAAAGTGCATGAGTTTCACTGTAACTACCAATTTATCTTATGATTTTTCAAAAAGATATGTAATATAAATATCTAATTACAAGCAAAGCTCAACAATTCAAAAATAGATAATGGGCTACACTTGTTCAACTTCACAAAAGTTATGACACAGACTGTAAACAATGGTATCTTTAGATTTAGAAAGCAATGACAGATACAGAAATAACTTTCCCAAAGAAAAATGTTTTACGCTCAAGTTAAATGAATATAAGTCTAGTGCAATAATACATAAATCTTTCTAGCATTGTGGATTGATCAATGACATGCTCGTCATTTAGAGTAATGAAAAGCAATCTCCAAGGGTTTTTATTGTATTGCAACTGTTTGCTTTTGCATCAAATAAATCTGCAACAGTGCAATTCATATTCAAGACAAAAGAAATATTTATGGTAAACCAAAGAGGTTTGACTTTCTAAATGATCTACACCAGTATGCATAGATATTCCTATCTGAACTGTTGACCCTTGTGCCCTATAACTGGAAATGCTTTGAAACAATTTAGACCACATTCTAAATTAGAACATTGTAGTTTATATGAGTAAAAACATGAATCAAGTCTCATGTTCTAAGGATCCATAAACAACTATAAAAGACGCAGACCAACCATTAACAGTTCACATGGTTCACAAAACTCAAACACAAAACAAAAGTAAACACTATTGATTGTACCAACTGCAATCTAAGACATTCCCAATTGACTGACATACAGTATGTCTCAGATTGCATACACGTCTTAATATCTATGGATATATTTAGGAATTTTCTTATGTAAAAAAGTAAAAACAAATGTATCCGAAGCTTACACAGTTTCTTCCATGAATTCAATTTCCAGAGTTCATATCAAAGGTTGTCAGTTAGATTTTATACAATTACTATGGATAAAGTAGATGAATTCTACTCCTTATTTTACACTTTGTAAATGAAAACAAGCAACCTGTTGCACTTACCACAACAGATATTCCGGGTTGTCTTGAAAAATCCTGATGGTTTTTGACAACGCAGAAAATGCAGACATCAGAGTAGAAATGAATCTAATCCTCACAGTGACTCAGGCTTGCACATTTTACACATGTATCTATCTGCATGTTGTTCTGCATCTTATGAAGGTAACAAGATTGGTTTCTTTCCAAATGTCATCAAAAGTGATGAAAATAGACATTTTAAACAGTACTCACCTCAATACACAGTTACTTTTCACAGAAAAAGGAGAGAGAATGTTTGGACACCATGATAACAGGATGACTTTATTACAAATGTTTTTTTTCTTTTCAAAGGACGGACAGTGATCTAGTAATGCTTAAACACTGTGCATCGAAGGGTGAGGAGTGAGGAACACAAAATCAAATTGGTCCCAAGGCTTTCAGTACCATTATCATGTATGTCTTCTACTGTATGTGTGGCATGGTATGTCTGGTATGACAGTGAATGGGCTTAAACTGACATTGGTTCAGCAGAAAGTAGATGGTTTATACTATTGATCTATAAAAAGCTCCTATTCAGTATTATACCTACTGTAGGAAGTAGACATGTCAGGATCTATGTTCCACTCGAACTGCCCTATTCCGTCTACTGATTGCTGCTCTGCAGAAACACAAGAAAATTTACTTATTCAACTACTTAACTCTATAAAAGTGACTTTATATATATATATAATTTTAGTTTAAGTTATACTACTATATATACATAGAGTTATTCAGAATAATTACAAATAACTTAAAATATCTCACTTGCCTTTTTCATACAAATTGGATTGGAACATATGCATTTTTTCATATAAAACCAAAAAAAAAATCGAATAATTTCTAAAGTAATATATTAAAGCTTTATTGTCAGATTTGTTTTTTTAACAATACTTGTGTATTGTTACAAATCTGAAATACAGAGAGACTGAGAGTTATTAAATTGTTGAGTTTCTCTTAATGAATGGGGAACCAATATCTCCTTAAAATTAGGGCTATTATTCAATTAAAATAATTATTTGTGAGCATTAGTTGATCAATCAATAGTTTGGTTAGATCATTAATCAAATTAAAATAATGGTAGTGATCTAAAGAGTCTGTCTTACACAGTAATACTTTCAGAAACACTAAGAATGACAAATTTGATATAAAACAGACTTTAAAATTTCATTAAACAGCCATTGAGTAATCCTTCTAGCAAAAAGAAGAAATTTGTGCCTATTTGCTACACCATGATTAAAATTGTGCAATTTTAATGCACTTTTATAGCACGGTGTAAGAAGGTTGTCAATCCAAGCATTAGTTAGTTTCCAAGTTTAGTGGGTTTCTTGCAACACAAGAAACATTTTAGAATTTGGTTTTACTTGATGTCAAAAGTCATTTGTCCTGTAGTCGGTAGATATTCAATACATTTTCTCTGCTAGATTCAACTCTGACATGAAACCCTGAAATTCTGCAGCGCATTGTCCTGCTGTCAAAAGCTACTGCTGAAATCTTCGCCCAGTCGTTTGTGATTACCTATTTTGTTGTAAGATAGGCAAATATTGACTATTGTTTCTTGCATGTTATGATTGTTAAAATAGGAGGTGATTTATCTGATTTCTTGGCTGCTAAATGATGTAGTATCCCAAGATGGTTCAATGCATGATAAAATTTTGAAAAACAATTTCCAATCAATTCCTTAAATTGATTAATCTTGCAACTTAAAACTATACCATTCAGACTGACAAGAATATTGTGTCCATGTGTTAGTCCACATTTTAGTAAGAAACCTATGCAACAGGGGAGGGTGTGAGTGCAGGCTAATACATTGGATTCTTGTTAGGTGCATATTAATGATTTTGAGTTCTTCTTTCCATTCTCTCTGTATCCCGAATGTTTAATGATGTTTCAGAACATGCAGTGGTTTATATCTGATTCTTTTACAATCGTGGTAGCAATAGTATCTCAGATTAATATTATTTCAGTCTTTCTTTGGTTTCCCACCAAAGACATGCTGTCAAGAACACTAGACTTTTTTTTTTTACCACAGCTGTTCTTTATGACAAAACACATCTTATAAAAAATCATTCTACTTAAAATAACATTTACTGAAAATGAAAAATAAAACATATCTACTCTGGGAAAATATAGTATTTATTGGGCAGGTAGACAAATGTCTTGGTCTAATACTGTATGTGCATTTTTCCTAGAAAAACAGGACACATTTGGCAGTGACCTATTCCTTATAAATGTTTACAGAATATTTTCAAAGATGTAAAAGTATACAGCTGTGTGTTCAGGGCTGCAAAATTATCAATAAACCAAGGAAAAGAATTAAGAAGAATAATCAATACCCTCTTAATACCCCATCCCTCTATATTACATGCTACTGTACATTTCAAAACTATTGAACATTTTGACAATTTCTACTTATTCACTATGTATTAGGCGAAAGTACAGTCTTCCTCTCAAGAGAATATTTCATAACCAAACTTTTGAGGAGCTTCTGCTTTATTTCAGTCTAAAGTCTCACCTACAGTACATGTATTTAAAATATAACTATAAAATAACTAAAAAACACCTTTTGTTAAAGTGACAAATGGACAAGCACCTAACATTTGTGAACATTTTTTAAATCCTTTTTTTTCTTTTTTTTGTATAAAATAATGTTTTTTTCTTGAGATTTCTAGGAGGTGAGAATTTCTTTTAATTTACTTAGCATAATTGTTAATAAAAATGGTGTTACGATAAAATTGCTTTGTATTAAAATGTATTCAAGTGAGCTCTCCTTTACCTCAAGATTTAATTAAAAATAAAATGGCACAAGAAACAACACACTGTTTCCAGGGAATCCTTAAAAAATGTTGATAGGGCCACAATTAAAACAAAAGTTTAAAGTAAAATAATTCTAAAACACTATCAAATCACACTTAAAGCATTGTTTTAAAACAGCAAAAATGTCGAACTATTTGACTATTAGACTTTTTTCCTTTATGTACTTCTTAAAGTTTTAGTTCAGTTTCACATAACGTTTACTGTCCCCTTGCATAACCCAAGAAGTCAGTGGTTTGATGCATCTTCCAGATTTTTTATTAAATCTCTATTTGTCCTTTTGGAATGGTTGAGCTGAAATGTGAAGAAAAATGTGGAGCTTTGGGGACTGTGTGTATCATGGGCAACTTACTCGTAATTCTGGCCTTTTCGTCCATCACTATAACAGGAGTGACGATTCTCACATTTTCAAGTTGGGCCTGAAAGTGTAGGCCAACACTTAAACAGCAGGAGAAGAAAAAAGAAAGTGTTTCAAAGAACCTTTGCTTGTTAGCTTTTTCCCATATTTACAGTGGGAAGGCTGTCTCTTTTAAATAACAAAGATTTACAGTACCTTTTAGATGCCCTCTTCCTAAGGTCACAAATCCAGATGAGATGAAGTTGTGCAGATCAGGCCCACCGCTCCGAAAGTTTTCTTTTACATAGTGACCTCCTAAGATCCAAGAAATAAAAGAATGAAAAACATTTTTTGAAATTGTATCTCAGTTACACAGGCAAATTAAGTTCGGCAACTATGTAAATAAGAATAAATAAATTCAGCATTTGACCCACCCTTCTTAAGGATATATCTAAAATATAGGGTACTATATTATATAGATTTTTTTATATACTGTAAAAGTAAGATGTTTATTTATCCATCAATATAGTGGTATCCAAATATTTATTTGAAATCTTTGACATCTTTACAGGGGACTTCAGTATTTGGAAGACACATACATTCTTAAAATGTTTGTGTGCATGGATTATAATATTGCATTTCTGTTGAGAAAACTAAGATACATTTGTTTAAAATTTTGGCATACTTTGTACCCTAACAAGAAACAATGTTTTTGCCATCATAACATTATTTTCAATTGATTACATAACCTAAGACAAAATGTAATTCTCCAGGAAAATCACAATTTAAAATGTTTTAAAAAAGGGTTAAACCTTTGATGGTTCGAAAGAACTAAAATAAAAAAATGTAGACACCTTACAATTGGTTGTATTTATGTGTATCTTAATTTTAAAATGCAAATACACTTATATACTTCACCCTAAAAAGCACTAATGTTTTCATCAATTATTTTTTAGGGTCTTATCTGTCAAGCTCAGTTTAAAATTCAGTTCACAGCACTGCAGGGACCAATATTAATTCTAGATCTTCCTCCATTGAAAAGGCAGGCATCATTCATTTGAGACATTTAAACAGTCAATACATTTTCTTAAAGCGCCTGCTTTCACAGCACACTATTTCCTCGTTGAAAGTCTAAACATAACCTTATTTTGTCAAGGGTACATTAAAACATGAAGCACTGGTGAGATGAGCCTTCAAAGGCATTTCTGTGCATCATAACACCATTGTCATCTTTATCATAATCATCTGTGAATGGTGTCAGACACCGTTATTATAATCTTCTTTCCTTTCGTAATTTCAGAAACACTTTTGAAGAAGAAAATATCTAGTTGCATGGCAGTAAATTATACTCGACAGTCCCATTATTTTAAGCACCCCAGGAAAGCAATTGCATTTCTCACACTTGATAGTTATTCCAACTGATAAAGGTGTAATGGTACTAAATTCATGGAGAACCATTCATTAAGAATTTATAGGCTCTGAGGTACATACAAAAATGCTATTGTACTTCAAAGGTCATAACAGAGATGGAAAAATAAGAAGGGTGGGATTTGGGTTGGGGCTTCATCTTATTTAGTGTAGGAGGATTTTGAAGGCTGGTTTTTGCGGCTGTAAACCACACCTTTCCTGTAAAGGCTAAACAATAAAAACTACCACTACAATCATATATCCTTTAGCATATGCACTTAGCACAAAGGTCATTGAGACACCTTTTTAATATGGTTGCGTAAAGTGCTACTCTATATTGTGTAATGATTTTACTGTATTATTAATAATTGTACTGTATATTGTTGATGAGGTCTCATGGTTTTGCATGATTTAATGGAAAACCTCTAACCTTTTATAGATGCTCTGTGCTCTTTCAATTTGACTTTCACTTCAGCACTGTATCTGATGTTCCCTCAAATTGCATAACCCTTTTAGGATCACATTTCACCAACCCCAAGGCCCCTGTAAATCTACCATACATGACAGGCATTTTCTTTAATTAGGATTCTACGTAACTTTTTGTTTTACCGTGAATTGCAATACGAAATCTACTGTTATATATGCTATTATAGTCTTATTTTACAGAGGCATTTAAATAATTTGATTTTATATGGCACAGTTTAATCCCACATTCACTCATTCCCTAAAACTGTATTAAATGTAGTGTAATGTGCCATTTTAAGCCTGTTCCTCGTCAATTAAGGAGACTTAAATACACAGTATAAATAGTATACTTTAGGACCTTAGAAAACATGGTCTAACAATGTTTTGCAGATGAAATAAAAGATATAAAAGCACTCATGGAGACAGACATAAGAATATGACACTACTTGAACATTTTCATTGGTGCCCCTTAATCTTTCTACTCCATATTACCTCTGAATAAGATAGGAATGTGTTCTAAATGCTCTAAAAAAGGAATTAGGATTTGCTTTTGGATCTAAAGATGATTCTGCTCACCTCACAATCGCGCAATTGCAAGAGGTAATGAATCTTCATTCACATAATTCAATATACAGTACCCTGTTCTGTGGTTTATTGCATTAAGCCATGTTGTGGTGAACATTTGTTTTGACATTCAACAGATTAAATCACCTCATCACCTGAGCCAAATCAACTCTCTCACTAATGAGATGATTTATTGTTTGTGCAACAAAGTCACTTAAGTGTAGAACAATAATTCATGAATGATCAATTAATCAAAATGACAACAAAACAATCAATATCCAAAATCAATATATTGTATCTATCCAAGAATATTCATGCATAAAGTGATAAGTTTAAATGGATGCTCAGTATATATCAAAGGATACTTGTACTTGCAGGAACATTTATAGTGTTATTCATATGTGTGATGTGCTGTATATAAGCCATGTGTCAATGAGTCCATTTAATTACCTACCTTGATGCTTGTAAAATCTGATTTGGGGGGAAGTCCTGCTATTTTAAAACATGCCAAAATAACAATTTTTACATTCCATTAAATACTGAACTTTACAATTATACTTTAAATTTCTTTAAGAGATTTAAACTTATTTTAATTATTTTATTATTATTCACATACAATTCTCTCAGTACTTGGCTTTTAAATTTTACATGTAATAACTATTTCATGATGTAGCCCTTTTTGTCCTTTGTTTAAATCATGGTGCAAAAACTAGGACTTTCTTTATTTTAAAAACTTTTACCCAGATTTATAATGCTATTGTTGCATAAAGGCTCTGGTATACACCAACAGAAAATACCTGAATGATCCAGAGAAACTGGCAGAATTGTTAGAGAGCCAAACAGGACCCATAAACTCAGGTTAAGTATTTTACTGACACTACGTCTGTAATGCAGAGGAGAGCACAGTTGTCTCTGGAAGTTGAAAACAAAATATGTTACTGTACATTGGTTCACTGCAGCACGATGACTTTCATTTGTTCTGTCAATCACAGATAATAAACTTCCTGTGGGAAGACAGTCGACCCAGAGCTCAAGGGGGAGAAGAACAGTAAATGCAGTGAATTGCAGCAGTAAAGTGCAAAATTGGCAAACAGGGCCCTTCTGTAGTCAACCCAGCAAGCTTCTCTCCCATTCAAGGCCCTGTCTGCATTAATTGGCTCACAGCATAATAGCTGCTCTAAGGGGCTATTTTATAGTCTGCACCAGTACTCAGCCTAGCCAAGAAGCAAGAGTGTACCTTCATTGAATATTGCCATAATGAGAAATAACACACAGCACAATTAGACTAGGTCTTTAGACCACAGAGTTTTGACACAGGTGTATGCTACATAAAACTTACATTATAAAGACCTCCAGTCAGCCAAGAAATTGTTCATTTAAATGTAGGCATTCACAGTTTCACCCAGGGGGAAACAAAATCTTGACTTTACTAGTGTTTATATGGAAATGAAATGACTCCAAACATTTATAAAAATGCCTGTTGGCTTGCCTATTTTTAATTAAGCTATCTAACTGCACTTCTCTATGTAATGATACACTGAATCATTATGCATTTGGATAGTTTCTTTTCAAGAAATGACATGATTAGCTGCATTGAGAATGTTAATATGATTATATGAAAAAATCTTCTATTCCTGTGTAGTTCTTCCATTCTGTCACAGTACAACTTTGCAATCATACTATTGAGGTTTCCATAAAATCTTTTATTAGTATGCAGCATTTCAGTAGCCTGAAATGCTCTCTGGGCAAATTCACTAGTGATTCATTTTTACTGCAAAACTGGGACAAGATAGTAGGGCATTAAGAAGGTTAACTGATCATCCAAAGTAGGATTGGGGGCTTGTAAAACCTCTAAGAACCAGCAGAAGAATTATCTCAAGACTGGAATAGTCATCTTATGTTGCCCAGCAAATCTCTATCTTGATGTTAGCAAACAATTGCAAGTTTATAGGACTGCACAAAAACAAAACACAACTTTTTGTTGAAGGTTTAAAAAGTAACCTTTCAAGATTTAGCAATGTAAAAAGCTGATGTATATGAGCAACTGACAGATACGTAAAGCTGAGAAACTGTACCTTTAACAAGGCAAAACATAGTTTTACTCTTGACGAGAGAAAGTATTCCCTATGCTTATATTTAAACAAAAGTAAGACATTTGTTTATCTTAATTCAGTCTTCTTAGAATGTTTTTTTCTAACCTGATATGGGATAATCTCATTAACTGCTCAAGTCCAGTTTCTTGCCTATAGCCATCCTACATTTTTGCAGTATATTGAAGCTATTTTTTTTCTGGGAATAGAAAAGCTCTTGCTATATTTTCAGTGCATGGAACAATGGTGGGATAAGAAGAAATATTTGCGGAATGACCAGCATTGCTGTATCATTGCATTATATAGCAAATTATAAAGCTTTTATCTTTTAAATAAACAAAACAAATAATAAAATGTCAATTTAATCATATTCAGACATCTTACAGCAATTCTTTGAGAGATTTTTCTCGACTAAAACTCTGAAAACATCCTTACTTATTTTGGAACTGCCTAAATCTTCTGCAATAGTTCAGAAGTCAGATAAATTGGATTTATTCATCGATCACTGCTGGTATTGACAGGCAGATGTAATCTTAAGTATTAGAGAACTACAGACCCAACAAATTCTGAAACAATATTCATTTCGTCTTTAGTGTGCATATTCGTCTTTAGTGTGCCAGAAACACTTTATGTCAATGGCCAGGGTTATGCTATTGACATTTTGGCATCTACTACCTCCATTTCATTGCTACTAACATATTGTGACCAACAGTCAGTACTGACTGCAAGTTTGAATGAAATATTGCATATCAAGAAGCCTAAAACAACCACTCTTTGTTGTGTGTTCTCTCATATAAAGCCAGCCTTTCAAATTAGTTCAAAGATAAACTGCATCTGGTTTTAACTAGATAAATCAACTCTCATTGTGCTGTTAAATGATTTAATGAGGTGCTCTTATGTGCCATCTAATCTGATGTTCATAATTTAAAATTGGTCTGTGATGGGCTTTGTCCCATACACTGTAGGTTTGAAATAAATATAATTCTTACCTTTTTTGCAAATAGTTTAGTTTGTTTGTTGGTTGTAGCCACTTCACCTCATTGTGGTTTAACAGTCAGAACCACATTCAGAGGCAGGGCCTGATTTAAAGCCCAGGAAGCAATCGCCTGATGGCCACCGGCTTGTTTCCCGTTGTGCCCTCTTGTGGACTGGAGGGGAGCTGGTCTCCCCGTCCATTTATAAACACTGGTGTTTCAAAGTAATAACTCAAGTGTTTCAATAAGGTATTAAAATACTTTTACTATTTTATAGATACTATGTGTCTGTTTGGTAGTAGGGTCCTTTAAGAGTTTTTTGTTTGTGTTTGAAAGGGGAGGAGCCTCCTTAATAAAAGACAGAGGTCAGGTCCTATGGGGGGGGGGTCTTCAGTTGGGAGCTAAAGAGGAAGGTGGCTCTGTGGAGATTTAGTTGCCTGCTCTCTGTTGTTGTTATTCTATTATTTTTCTCCTAAAACATTCAAATTCCTGTTCCAAATAGAAACTGCTTCTAAAGGATAGTATGAAGCCACTAGCAGAAAAAAATAAAAAGAGAAAGCTAAACCCTTTATTTTGCCCCTGAAATCAAGCATTTCCTGATCCATTAGGTATGTCAACAATGTCACCACCGAGGGACCCTACAGACATGTGCTGCAAAACACAGCTGTAAGTACAAACAGAAAAGAATACAACTTGTGTTAACACTGCAGGTCTGGGAATCAAGAACATTCTCAATATTCCTAGAATGTGAATCCCCTTATGTATTCAAAGTAAAGAAGAGGAATGGGTATTACCTACAAGGAGTCATGTGGAAGTTTCCTTAAACCCAAGAACAGGAAGTACATCTTTACACAAAAAGTTACAGTAGTCTGGGAAAGTTGCCCAGTCATGTTATTGAAATCAATACCCTGGTTTCATTCAAGAAATGGCTGGATGGGATCGTCACATAAATTAGCTACTAACTACAAATTGGGTCAGATGGGCCAGACTTTCTCCTTTATAACTGTTTTATGAATCTGTAAAATAGAAGAATAAGAATGTAATGTCTTCTGCAACTTTGTAATCTTTTTCACTAAAACACCATATTGGAATTAAGTAAAGAATTATAGGAACAATCTATAGTATCTAAGTGGAACACTAAACTAAATTAATACATTAAATCTATATTGGAAGACAACATTTTCATCAGCTGAATGCCAAGACAAGGCTACTATGGCAGCAGTGTGGAATACAGGTTAGAGTTCACATTTCAGATGGGACGTTGCTGTTGCATCCATGAGAAACACACTTTATTCAGAATGCTACACTAAAATGTCCAACTGTATAAACTGGTATAAGCATATGTCAATTTGGGTGAAACCATTTGCCACATTAATTTACAATTACATTAATTGCTCTGTGTAAATTAAATAATTGTACTTATCCAAGAATGGGTTATGATGGCCTATTTTTTCATGGTTCATACCAGTATAAAGCTGTTTATAATTTCATTATAATAGTTTTTGCATAATATATTAGTGAATTATCATCAAGAAGCAAAGAGTACAAGGTAGTATGGGGTGCAGACGATTCCCAGTCCATTGAAGGGAAAGGGACAATTAAGAGTAGCCAATCACACCTGTCTTTAGAAGAAGTTTAAAAGTTTTTTAGAAGGTTTCTAAAAAATTAGATTCCTTAGTGAAATCCCATGTGATATGCAAACTCCAGACAGACATTTGAACAGGAAACCAAATCTTGGACCCTGGAACTATGAACTGCAATGCCTATCTAGCCTAATATATGTAAGCAATGTTTTATTTTATAAGAACATATTTGATATTATCTGGAATCACATGTTATCATTTGATATTATCTGGAATCACATGTTATCAACAATGAAACATACAATTTAAACATGATTTAATTACAAATACAGTTGTCTGAACTAGAGAATGTCATCTGCTTGACATGTCTTTCTGGATTCTGTGAAGTCACTTCATCTTTTGTCAACCTTCAATGTAGCCACTGTTACTATAGTAACCCATAACTCTTAAATATCACTGCTATAGATAACAAGGCCCTATCTTGCCCTGGTATTTTACACTTGACAAAAGCAAAGTACTTCAATAGATGAAACCACTGTGCTCTGTTATTCAGATGCTAACTGCAGGCTAACTCATTTTTTCCAATTCCTTTGTCAGTAGCTTTAATCATATATATAATACAAGAAGGCTGCAAATTTTAACCCAGTGGTACATGTCAATCTCTACATCATTATTATGTTTAACTTTTAAATCACAATTTGTTTATCTCTAAAATATAATAGCTTGTAATCATAAACTCATGTGTGGTCAACTTTTAATTTTATCACGGACATGAACAACTTTTGTATCATTACGATTCATACCTGCCAAGGAAAAAACAAAACCAGATTTATTAAAGTGAACATACCGTGGTTTGTTTTAGATGTGTGGACTGGAGTGTAATGATTTTTGGAAGATGATCGTACAGGTGTGTTTTCTTTGGGTGAGCCATCCATCGCTGCAATGTTTTCTCGCTCGTAGTGAGATATCGGAATGGGTCCTTGTTGCCTTAAAATGTCTGCAAGGGCTCTGAAAAAAAAAGAAAACACAGTATTATTTTTAAATAGTTCAAGTACAGTAGGTAGCTGCATCAGCATGCATAGGCTGCTAAGAAACAGGTAACAGGTTTATTCCATGCTGAAAAGAAATAAAAAAGGAAACACGTTTCGGCTGTGGAGCCTTCTTCAGGTGTCAAAGAAGGATCCTGAAGAAGCCTTCACACCCAAAGAAGGCTTCACAGACGAAACGTTGTGTTTCCTTTCTTTCCTTTCCAGCGTGGAATAAACCCAGTACCCATTATTTTTAAATTGCAATCTGGGGACGTGAAAGACAAAGAGTAAAATTCATATCAACATATATTTAGCCTTTAAATGATTTTTTTTCAATCTAGTTGCACCCCCCACCACAAATACCACCACTACCAAGCTCTGGAATCGAGAAAGAAAACAGAATAATTCTGTTGGACTAGTCCAAAATCAGGTGCAGCTGGTATGTTTATCACACATAAACCAAAATTAAATTGTTCAATTGTTTTTTCAAAGCCACACCTGACACAAAAGGAATTCTCCCCCTTAAAGACTGTAAAAACATGAAAGCTATTGTATGCATCACTTGTAAAGTGAAAACATCCTCCCACATTTTCTCACGAAGTTCAATTATTCTGCATTACTACAGATGCTTTCCATAGCCTTATCATGCATCAAAAAGGATTCAGGAAGATGTGGCCTTTTTCACTTCCAATCTTTAATTTTGTAGCTCTTAATTACAGGAGTTTTATACACTGCCTGGGTTTCACAATAAGATTTAATGAAAAGCTAAACTATGTCAATGTCAACCCATTGAAACAACCACACAGTGTATTTTTTTTTCAACCACATGTGACATTGAAAAATATATTAATAGCTTTTCTGTCCAAGCTGAGTACATATTTTTTAGCATATCTTGTCTGCAGACAGAACTGACCTCATTTCAGATATCCCAGCTGGCTCATATGACTTATACCATCGTCTTTAGTAAGTATACATACTGCACAGTCCTCAAAGGAAATCCAGAAGGCTGTAGAAAGCTTTGGGGCAGTGCTTAATATTTGTCTTAAAAGTTGGCAGAAGTACATTTGTACTGTACCATAACATTATCAAATAAATGACAAAACCAAATAAAGTGCAATATTGTATATCTGAATAATACAGAATGATGAATCAAGTTAAGTTCTTTTGACTTTTACACCTATGCACCTATAATGGTAAAATTCTTAGTCCACCCAGCTATCCCATAATTTTAATTTATTGTGTGCATAAAATCAAAGAATTGTTATAGTAAATCCTAGAATAGTACACAGTTTTCTAATTGGATTAATAATTTTAACAAAGTACAAATACCATCATTTTAAAGTGTTTAGCAGCTTCACTATGCTCTATCAGTCTCTCAAATTCACTGGCATTTTCCATTCTCCTAGATTGAATACGTCTGTACGTTTCAAATCTCCTGTTTCACAAACGTGTCTCCTTAATATTTTCTTCCATACCAAACATAATAAAAATCTCTCCCTTTCTCATATTTCCTCAGACTTCATAGTTTATTCAGATACTTTTTTGTTGTTTTTTATTTAACAGGGATATTCTGTCACACAATTGACAGTCCTCATCCTAACCAAAGAAAGATCTTGTAAAACCAGTCCCTTAAGAATACCAGCACCCAAAACCACTTCCACTTCCCTTTCACCCTTACAACCCTTGTATTGCCCAGGTTATCAAACAAAATGTCTTCAAGTGGAACCTTTTTATATCTTCTTAATATCTATGACCACCTGATCTTACAGCTCAACTTTCTTGTCCACAGTTCCCTTAACCACTCCCACACTTTTTGCTGCAACAGAAGCAGTGCTCACCTCAAAATACATACTGTATCCAGCAGTAAATATTAATATGGTCCCCTTTAACAATGTCAAGATCACCCAGAGGGCATCATGTAATTTTCCCACAATCTAATTTATTGCATTTCTTGCAGAACATGTGCTGCTATTGGCATCATTGAAACAGCATTGAAGACAGGCCAGCAGTTACAGGAAACGTGTCAGAGCATTAAGGGTCAAAGACCCTGTTTTACCTCTCCCAACCATGATTCTATTGACCTTTGTCCTTTCATGGGAATTCAAAGATGCATAATCTAGAAAACCAACAGAACCCCAAACTATTGGTACACCTATCCCCCAGGACTCAAAGATTGACTAATTTATCTCTCCATTGATTTACACATTGGTACCTCCCACAACTGCCTCTGGATATCTGAACTCTGAGTCCCAGATTTCCATCCATTTAACATTCAGTACTGTACACCTACCCATTCTCATCTTTTTATATATTTCAATCTTTTAATACTGAACCTGCCTGTTTTTTTTCATATCTCTGCTCTCCCTCTCTCCTCCACACAACTAAATAAGGCTCAACAGCTGAAACACTGTACTGTATGTTTCACATACATTTCTTTTCACTTTTCAATATGGAACTAACCTGTACCTGTTCTTTGCAGCTCCCAGATTGACACAGTTTACTGCTATAATTCTAAATATGATAAGAGCAGACCACCAATAAACAAAATGTTTATGTCTAATTTATTGAAAGTTATGCTTAACCACAAGTACCACAATATTTTAATTTACCATGCAGTTCTGTTTAATTAGAAATTCCCGGAGCACTAATACAAAAATAGCATAAATATATTTCCAATAAATTTCTAACTTAAGTGTTATTTACAAGAAATATGGCTTTGTAAAACTAAATGTTAAATACATTGCTGCAGTGAGTTTTTCTTGTGAAGTTCAAGACTGAGAAGTGCTCTAATAAATTTGCAGATGCCTCTACCTATATAGGTATAAAATAGTAAGGATTATTTTCATTTGGATATTAAGTAAGCTGCTGATCTGACTCGTGCATGTAGATAAATGCATTACCACTATATATAACTGACTTGGTGAGCACTATATGGTAATGCCAAAGAGAGCCATTGTAAAGCTCTGCCCCAAGTGTCACAACATCAACATTGCAGACCATATTATGTAAGAGCACCTGGTATACAACATTCACCTTATTTGCTCAGACACCAATTGTAAAAAAGATGCTGCCTGCATCGGGCTCAAAATCAGATCATCAGGACTTAAGCATACACATACCACTGTCACCACATCACTGTCATGATCAAAGAGCACAGTCACACAGTGAGACTGTACAGTAGGTGTAAAGTCCTATATAAAATATGCTGCAGGTCAGGTCCAAACCTACAAGTTTTTCAGGAACAAAACTGCCAATGCTTTTCTGTGCTACTTGGAAAAAAAAGTGCAAAAAGAAGCAAATTTTTAAAAAGGCTTCAAATATGCCTTCCATGAATTTCCATGAAAATATTTCAGAATCAAGTAATTTAACCAGACTTCCTTTTACCATCTTAATGTTAAAAGGAGCTTGCACTTTGCTCTTCTGAAGAAACTCATCAATACCAAATTCATATGAGCAATTAATGTGCTGTGTTACCTTTTGCAGTTGTTGAAATCATTTTACAGGAAAACAGAACTTGTATGATTTACAATCTTAGGATTTTTTGTAGATACTATGCATTACAATTATTTATCCAATATTCAGGAGGTGACTGTACAGTAAATGAGAATATTCATGGTAATGCTGCTGTTATACAGTAATATAAACAAAATAAGCATTTTGGGAAACATTAGGAAGAAATAAGAAGGGATATCCCTATGTTCTTATGTAGATGTAATATTATAAATTTAATATTCATAAATACACACTTTAGATGATACTTATATAAAATAATTATATATGTTGATCCAGCTCATTTAATTCCGAAGGATATAAATGTTCATTTACAGTATATATGGAACAGGGCTCACTTTATCCAGTGATGAGTAGTACACACTTGGGTGACATATGACAGCCATTATCAACCAGCGATATAACCATCAAGCTACAAGGTGTTATTCTTATATGAGACATTTAAAATGAATTTCAATTTTTAACAAGGTGTATTTCTACAGCATGGATTTATGAATAGTTTCTTTATTTGAAGCAATCAATTACTGGGTGATTGACTAAGTCTTCATTTAATTGTAAATGCTCCCATAATTGCTTTCAGAAGCATTTTAAAATGACATTTATCACTTTAACCATCATCATAACCTGCACCTCTTTTATATTGAATTTCACTTATTCAAAGAACATTTTATTCTATCTAGGAACACCCAACCTCATGTTGTATCTATTTTTTTTATAAACGTTTAAATGCAAATCTTATAAAAGCTTTAAAAAAGATTAATATCATGTTTTAAGATTTAAGATAACTTTTATTTATATTGGATAAAGAGCATAAACTTAAATAAGTGGGAAAATGTAGGAGCTAATTAACAAATGTCAGTTACATTTTTTGATTTCATCTCATAAACATAAATAGTAGGAAAACATGAACTGAATGACAAACTGCTTTCAAAATGTGTTAATGTTCACCTCACCAAATCCAATGGTAACAATTAATCCATTTCTAATGTTTCTGTGAAAATAAAAAATGACTGTATACAGTACCAATGCCGGTCCATAAACTTCCAAGGTTGCTTGTCAAGATCATTGCATGTGAGAGCATATAATTTGATCAGAAGCACCATAGAAGCACTATATACTGTACCTTAACCTTCCTCATTATTAAAAATACTCCACACTAGCCACACTACATTGCAACTGCTGACTATGTATTGTATCCGTATACAATGCCTATAAAAAGTGATATCCTTCTCAAAGTAAAACATTTTGTGGCCAAACAGCCTAAAACCAAGACACATTAAATCAGAAAGTATTTTTCCTTTACTTACACATTGTAATACACAACCTCCAAAGTGAGAAACAAAACATTATGAAAAGTAAATACAGCAATAATTCTGTTTGGATGCTCAGTGAGGATTTATACAGTACATACAAATGCAGCCTTCAGAATGCATTTCAAAATTCATGTCCACTGTAAGCTAGTTGCTCTGT